GGAGGAAAGCCGAGAGTTTCTGCATCAGCTCTGTTTTCATCACCTCCTGGAGGAACCGCTCCTGCTCGCGCAGCTCCTCGGCCGTCACCTCCTCCTCCGTGCCCGTGGCCCTCTGGTAATTATCCAGCAGCTTAATGAAGCTGGCGTAGGTGGGTTTGGAGAAGAGCTCCTCGTTCACGTATTTGTAGAGCCTGGGGGACAGCGGGGCTGCTTTCAGCCGTGCCSAGGTGGCCCCCGGTCATTGTCGCCTCCCCCCGGTGTCACTCACGGCTGCGGGGAGCGGTCCTGGCSGTCGCCGGTCTCGTCGGGGCCCGCGCGGTGCTGGGGGTTGATGGCGATGTCACCGGGCCGGGCTTTGTTGTGATCGGCCTGGTAAAGCTGCTCCGAGAGCTCCAGCAGCTCCTGATCCGAGATGGAGCCGCTGCTGCTGGAGAAACCGTCTGTGGGGACAGCGGGGGACAGCTGGGGACAGCAGGGGACACTCTGGGGACACTCTGGGGACACTCGGGGATCGTGGGACCCATTGGGACACCGGGGATCCCGGGATACGATGGGTTAAGGGGTGCAGGAGGTCCCAACCCTCACCGACCCCATGATCTGGGGACAGCTGGGGACACTCTGGGGACACTCAGGGGACATTCCGGGATCGTGGGACCCATTGGGACACCGGGGATCCCGGGATACGATGGGTTAAGGGGTGCAGGAGGTCCCAACCCTCACCGACCCCACACCTTGGGGACAGGCAGGTGGCCTTGGGGACACGGACAGCACTGGTCCCTGTGTCCCACGCCCACTGGGGACAGCCCCCTCCCCATTTCTTTGGGTTTGGGTGGGCGAGGGGTGCGAACCCGGCTGGTTCCTGCCCCCTGTGCCCGTGTCCCCTGTGCCCTAGGGAGGGGACAGCGCTGATGGCAAGAGGGTGACACCCCGAGGGATGGGAGGGGACACCCCGAAGGGGAAAAGGGGACACCCCGAGGGATGGCAGGGGACACCCTGAGGGATGGGAGGGGACACCCCGAGGGACGGGGGGTGGCTCTGTCCCCTCCAGACTCACCGCGGGTTCGAGCTCCGCCCTCGGCCCCTTCCCCATCTGGAAGGAAAAGGAGCTCAGCGGGGTGGGGACACCTTGGGGACAGCCCAGGACCCCAAAGAGGAGCCCTGGCACCCTCAGGACGGGGTGGGGACACCTTGGGGACAGCCCAGGAC